GTGCAGTGGGTTCCAGTGCCCACTGCCCTGACCAGCTGGGGCAGCCGCTGGGGTGCATGGCTCCCCCAAGCTCAGCTCCACGGAGCTGGAGCCACGTGTGTGGGGTGAGCCTGATGGGGCTGGCTTGTCCGGAAGAGGGTCCGTTTATCAGCCTCAGGGATGCCCTGAGACAAATGGAGGTCACCCTTCAAAGCACCCGCGGGCTGAGCCAGCTGGCTTCTCCGCGTGGCCCTCGCTTCCACAGGTAGCGCGGAGGTTTCCAGAGCTCCATGTGTGTTAGGGCAGGAAGGCAGGAAGAGGGCTGGGCTTGGCATCTGGGCTGGACAGTGGCACCCAGGCGGCTGCAGGACTGGTGTCCGGAGGCTGGGTCGGGCAGGGACACTGGGATCCCTTCCATCAGGGCCGAGAGGAGGGGGCGTCCTACTGTCTGGGCGATGCCCCTGAGTGAGCTGCTGCCCCGCTGAGCAGTGGCCAGTGGTGGCCCAGGTACACGACAGTCCCCGGCTCAGCTCAGCTCAGCTCAAGGAGTTCTGTGACAAACTTGTCAGGGGGAGACTGAAATCGGACCGAAGAGCAAACAGCTTTTGCCACAGGCATGCGGGAGACTTCAGGACCCCTTCTCTCCAGCCCTTTCAGGCGATGTCTTCCCCAGAAGAGCCGTGCTTGCTGAAAGGCAGTGTGCAGGTTTGGGATTGGCTCTGAGGTCAGCCAGCAAGATTAACCAGCTCCCAGGGCCTCCAGCCGAAAATAGAGGCAGAGCAGCCAGAATGAGGACAAGGGCTGGTGGTCCCTCTAGTGGGCGGTTGTGGAGCGGCACGCAGCCGCTCACCCAGGCTGGCGGGAGCTCACACAAAATCAGAGCTTCCGACTCCAGAAGGGATCAGTCTTCCTAAATCCAGGAAGCCCGTTTACCTGGGAGAGCCAAGCTACTTGCTTTTCTTGGACATAATACAGTTATAAACTATAAATATGATCAGGGTTATTTTTAAAAGGCAAGAGAACCAAATATCTGGTTTATCTAAATTTGAGATAGAAACACTTAGGTCCTTACATATGTGCTGCGCCTCAGAACTTGAATATATAGGGTGTTGGGGTTTTCTCAGGTTTATCTCATCCCCATTTGGGAAGGAAAAGGTCTCCCGAGCCTCACAATCTCTTGAAATTGACAGCCACTGATATTCCACCTGTTAGTTTTTTTTTAAAGGACCTCCATAACTTTAAAGAGTTCATGTCATAGAATAATCTCCAAGATCTATTAAATGCAAAATTCAAAATATGGAATAACGTGTAGTAATCTATCATTTGTGCTGAAAGTACAGCAGAGTATTTGCATAAACTATCTCTGGAAGGACACACAATACACACACACAACTAGTGAAGTTGTCTTGTTTCCCCCCAGCTTTATTGAGCTACGGCTCACATATAACACTGTTTAAGCTTAAGGTGTGTGTGTGGTGATTTGATTCACGTATATTATGAAATAATTACCACCATAGTATTAGTTAATACATCCATCACATCATATAATTACTATTTCTTTATTGTGGTCAGAACGTTTAAGATCTACTCTCTGGGCAATTTCCAATCTATAATACAGTATTGTTCACTATGCTCCCCATGCTGTCCATTAGATCTTCAAGAACTGAAAGTTTGTACCTTTTGACCATCTCCCCAGCCTCCATGACCCCAGCCCCTGGCAACCATCCTTCTCTCCTGTTTCTATGAGTTCATCCTTTTTAGATTCCCCATGTAAGTGATGTCATACAATATTTGTCTTTCTCCGATTATCTCACTTAGTGTAGGGCCCTCACGGCTCATCCACGTTGTCCAAACTGACAGGGTTCCCTTCCTTCTCAGGGCTGAATTCTATTTCATTGTAGATACATACCACATCTTCATCCATTCATCTGGTGACGAATGCTTAGGTTGTCTTGGCTATTGTCATGCTGCAATGGATATGGGACTGTAGATATCTATTTGATGTCCTGTTTTCATTTCCTTTGAATATATACCCAGTAGAATCGCTGGATCATATGGTAGTTCTATTTTTAATTTTGGGGGGACGTTCCCATTCCCACCAACAGTGTACAAGGGTTTCCTTTTCTCCACATCCTCACCAACACTCAATCTCATCTTTTTTATAATGGCCTCTCTCAGCTATTATAAAATCTCATAGTTTTGATTTCCACTTATCTGTTTTAAGCGTCTTTTCATGTACATGTTGGCAATTTGTTTGTCTAATTTGGGAAAATATCTACTCAATTCTGCTCATTTTAAAATCAGATTGTTTTTTATGCTATTGAGTTTTAGGAGTTCCTTACATATTTTGGGTATTAACTAATCAGATATATGATTTGTAAATATTTTCTTGCATTCCTTA